AAATTTTCTTTACGGATTGCGTATAAAACCCTATAGAATTTACGTACATGATGATCAGATATTTGTATAGGAATCTTTTCTATACGATTTATTTTTATACATAAATTTAGACGTAATTTTTTGTATTCGTACGAAAGATATGTAAACGCTCTACAGAAGAACGTAGAGAAATGGTGCATCTCCATATGAAATGTTTATATAGATGAGCCAGTGTGTCGTATAGAATCAACCCTTTAGAAATCGTATAGAAATAATGTGTATTCAAAATATCCGTATCAAAATATCCGAATATCATATGCGAAAATCCTTATAAATTCTATACGCAATCCATTTTTTACCCCCATGGAATCGTAAGAGGTCAGTAAATACCCATTTTGCCCCCATGAAATCGTAGGAGTACAGAAAAGACCCATTTTACCCCTAAGAAATCGAATGAGGTCAGAAAATACCAATTTTACCCCAATGAAATCGTATGAATATAAGAAAAAACCGTTTTCCCGCAATTAAATCGTATGTGGTCAGTAAATACCTATTTGACCCCAATGAAATCGTAAAAGTTCACGAAATACCCATTTTGCCCGAATGAAATTGTAAAAGTTCACAGAATACCCATTTTGCCCCAATGAAATCGTATGTGGTCAGTCAATACCCATTTTACCCCCATGTAATCGTAGGAGTATAGAGAAGACCCATTTTATCCCTAAGAAATCGAATGAGGTCAGAAGATATCCATTTTGCCGCTATGATATCGTATAATTCAATGTGTTTGAGATATCTCCCTAATTGATTATCTTAAACTAAATATTATTTTGAATTTATCTATACAATTCTATAACATCGGTAACTCTTCTTTACCACAAAAACCATACTCCGTGGCGTCACTACCGGACGGCGCCCGCTTCGCATTCTCATTTGACAATTTTTCCGTTTGACAATTTTTCCTTACGTCTGCATCTGTGTCTCAGAATATTCAAGGACCTCTCAGAATATTCAAGGATCGAGGCTTCAAGCTCACAGTAGACGGACAATTTGATATGAACAATAAACGATTATGCAATATTGCTGATGCGGTAGAAGATAATGATGCAGTTTCCATGAAGGTTCTCAAGCGGGTGTTTGAAAATTTGAAGGTTAACCCAGTAGAAAAACTCATGTCAGAGAACCTCGAAGCCATTCGAGTCCTAGATAACAGACTGAAGACTTTAGAGAATCCAAGAAAAGATTACTCAATTGAATCGAATGAAGATAACAATAGTAGTATAGTAAGGCCGGTTCTGGATAAAAAACGTCCAAAACGACCCATCTGTGAATGGCGAACGGGGGGGTGGGGGGTCGGCATCCGAATGCTGCCTCAGACATGTGGGGGGGGG